CCACCCCCACCACCACCACCACCACCACCACCACCACCACCACCACCACCACCACCACCACAAGTAGTGATTTTTTTAAAGATCGAAACGAAATCATTGTGTGTTTGAGACCAGCTTTGCAATTACTGATGCTCTGAGTTGAGAAGATTACTCTCGCCTCACAACTCACGCGTTGTTGCGTGGTGTATAGCGTTGATCCGATTTTAATTAGGGCTTTGATTTGGTTCGCAGTCATCCGAAACCTTGTGATCACGATCCGGTTCATTTGCGGTGTTTAGTAGACTGACGTGAACACGGGACCGCGTTTTGTTTAGACAAACTCCACTCAGTTGAACACCCGAAAAACAAGATCGTGCACAATTTATCAAAAAAGTCATCACAAACGTCACGGTTCGCGCGCTCTCTCTGGCCAATTACAACCTTTCGTTTTGTTGATCGAGGCCACAATGACCTTCAGAAAGTAGTGCACAACGATTATCGCCACAATTTTACGAGGTTTGTTTCTGTTTACTGAAACTTGACAAAAGTACGCTAAAGTACACAGTTTACGATTCGCTGACTAACTTGGTGCTTAGTTGTACAATGTTAACTGGCGTTCATGAATTCTGTAATTTTAAGCTGTGCCAATCAGACAGCCCTACCAGACACGCTACAAGCTGCCACTGATGAATTGGACCGTGCTGCGGAACCAGCAGCTACGCAACACCATTTTCGTGGGCATGAACGACGCCAAGGTCATCGAGAGTCTGGACATGGAGGGCTTCGAGGAGCTGTTCCGTCTCTCGAGCAACTCGATCGCCTCGAAACAGAAGGGCGATGATGGCGCGACCGACGTCAGCGACAATCGCATGTCCGTGGCTGCCAAAAAACCCCCCAAGCAACGTCTCATGGACGCCAATCGACAGAGGTGCGTTTTGGTTGAGCGTGAATTCGCTGTTCACTGTAGGTTTTTCTGCCACGAGGGTGTTTGATGTTAATACACAAAACGTGCTCGGCGTTGTCGGCTTGTTTAGCCGTTATTCACACTCTTCCAAAACGCGTCTCGTGTTTTGGTTAAAGAATGGCAAACGCAGGGAGTGAATACTTGATTGGTTGAGCAGTAAGGAGCCTTTTTCATAACCCAGACGTGGTGGGAAATTGACCTTCGCATGATTGACCAATAGGGTTTTAGGTGACCAACCAATCAGTGGATGACGTCAAGCAACTTATAAGCTTTCATCGAAATCGGTTGAAAGTCAGAGAAGCCGTGTGTCACCCGGGTCAACGACACCATAGAAGTGAGAGGAGCTAATGTTTTTTGTTCTGATCACCTCGTGGTGCCTGTGATTGGCTAGAGCTTAATCAACGGGCTTACAATTAACTGTGCGTACTTCGGTTACCGCTGTTTAGTTTCCCACAAGTGTGAGGAATGAATTACCGTCACAAAGGAAGACTTCGGTTATGAGAAATTGAAGGTTGTCAAAGGTGTCTTGTTGTATCGTAAAGTTTCTATGTGTGCTACGAGATGGAGCTTGTTAATGACCCCTGCAATTAGTCGTTTCAAGGCCACATGCATAAAATCGAGTTGGTTTGCCCCGTATTTGCTCGCCTCTCGCGCTCACATGCTAACAAGCAGACAGGCGTGGGTCAAGTTTTCACACTCTTCAATTTGCCATGTTAATCGCCTCGAGGGTTTGACCTTGCCGCTGGATGGATGACCTGGTTTGACACACGCACACACACACACGCGCGCCTCATTTCATCACGATTGGTCGTCGTTGGCGTGTTGAGTGGTTTGATCCCCGTCTGGGCTACTACCTTCACGGGCTAGGTTGTCTGTCACGCGCGCCAGTTTAAAATCCGTCTGCTGTCAGTTTGTTTAAATTCACCATAAAGCGGCAAAATTAATCAATTGTATATTCGCTAACATCACACCAACTCCCTGTTGATTTTAATTAGTCAACAAACGTCACCATGTCCAGTCAATTGTGGATATCTTCGTCGCTTTCAAATGTGTCATGTCGCGTATTTAGTCTGAAAATGTGACGGTGTGACATCGCAAAGTTGTGGAACTTCCAGTCGATTTCCAGGATCTCCGTTTTTGCGAGTTGTCTGGCGTTGAAGAGCTGTAGAATCACTTGTTCTTAATGATCATGTCGCTTTGGTAAGTAATGTTCAGAAGCTAGTCGACTATCGGATTCTGAGCGAGCGTTAGGTGATGTCTGAGACCGTCACAGTCCCACAACACCAAAGTCGCCGTCTTGCAGTGATGGTGGTGGAGTTGGCTGGTTGTTCGTGCCCACCCGGCACTTCCTGTCGCAAGTGACAACGCAACACAGCAACCGTTGTCTGTGTTCATGATTGCCCTAATTTTTTTATGGCTAACCATTAACCTACGGGATATCCGCACTACCATCTTTTGAACCTTGTCCGATGATTCCGAGTGGCGGTGATTTGTCCTCTCGTTGTATTTGGTTTACTCAGCAGTTGGGTGGTGACTGGAGCAGAATGCGACGTCGTGGTCAAAGTTGCTATTGCGTACTGCTTTCGTGTCCATGAACGTGCCCAAATTTGTCTAGCACCACAACTCGACTACAAGGTGAAGGGTCAGTAGTAACGTTTTGTAGAATAACACCGGAAACCAAACATTCACGCGCCTAGTCGATTGGGGTTGAGCGTGGAGGGTGGGGAATGAGAAGGAAGTGATCTTTCATCGTTAACCCGCTTCTTCGATACTTTGCATTTATCATGATCACCTCATCACTAAGCGTATGACGACTAGATTGCATGGTTCCGAGTGAAGTCACAAGAGACTTGATTGTTTGCGCTTTTTCTAAATGCCCAAGTTAAACGCGCGCCCAGCCAAGTGTGTGTGTGTGTGTGTTGGCGTTGTCCACCCCGCATTAATTATGCACAAATCAGCGTCCAGGTGAGTAAGACACGGACACCCGGGTCGAATAACTCCCACTAGCCCTGCCTGGTGGTTTCAGCGCACACATTTCAGTCAATTCACGCGAATGAATTTCGTTTGTCAGATGCCTTGGAATCCTGTTGCGGTACCTCGAGTCGGAGAAGTTCACCCTCAACAAGCTGTGGGAGAGTATCACGAATCTGGACGTGAGTCTGGACGTCGCCGATCGCATCATCCACCAACTGCCGACCCAGGACGAGGCCAGGATGTACCTCAACTACGAGTTCACCGAATGCCTGCCGGTGGATCAGCTCACGGACGAGGATCGCCTGCTGCTGCACCTGTGCAAGATCAACCGACTTGGACCCAAGCTGGAGGTGATCATTTTCATGAACACCTTCGACACCACCTTGGCCTCGCTCTGTCCGGTGAGTTGGCTGACTCAAGCTTACCACTGACTGCTAGCCTTATTCTAATTGTTCTCGATAAGTACGCTCAAAGTTTTTCGCTAACAGACCTAGTGTCGTTTTATAGCAACAGAATAGCAAACGCTTGATTGGTTGAGCATTAAATAGCCTATTTGATAACCTAGCCTATTCTTCGAATAACTGACCAATAGGGTCTTGTGGAAAGTTGACCTTCACACGACCGACCAATAGGATCTTACATGACCAACCAATCGGTAGCTGTTTATTTTATCTCATCAAAATTGATCAACACTAAGTCGCAGACATGTGTCGCCCGGGTCAGTGACACCACAGGAGTGAGAAGAGCTTAGGTTCTTTGTTCTGATCACCTCGTGATGACTGTGATTGGCTAGATTTGACTCATCGGGTTCGGTGAATTTAAGCACGGATTAGTTTAGCCTAAATACACAGAGAACAGAATTTTTGCTGGATGCGTGGATTCAATTCCTCCACAACCTTCTTCTGACGAAATATGCGGTCTGTCTACATGCCCGATTTTCGCAAGTGGGTGTTTAATGAGGTCATTTTCACAAATGATGTTTAATCTACACACTGCTGAAGTGGTAGAACATTAGCGTGAATTGGATTCACCGCGCTTTAAGTGAACCGAATTGCATAACAAGTCGGGTATCATTTGCTCACAGCATGGACATGGCAAGTGTGGATCAAAGGTCACACGTGCTTGCTCCGTGATTGAGGTGTATTTAAAATGGATAAATTCTTGTAACGAAGTGGCTTCTGAGGCTGCCAACGTCTTTGATATTGATACTGATGCGTTGTCCATCGATTTTTTGCAGAAAATATCCGCTGTGAATTCAGCCTCGTTCAACCTAAAGAAGAGTGAGAAGTTCAAGCGTGTGCTGGAGTTGGTTCTGGCGTTCGGCAACTACATGAACAGCTGTCGACGCGGTGTGGCCTATGGCTTCCGCTTGCAGAGTCTGGATGTTGTAAGCCAACGATTTTGAGTTAATTCCTGCCACGCTAAATGTGGTTTTCATTGGTTTGACCTGCGCCACATTTTCTGCCTGGATGGCCGTCATCTCCTAATCGTGTTCCTTTCTGCCCGTCCTAGCTTCTGGAGACTAAAACCGTGGACAGACAGACCACTCTGTTGCATTACCTCGTCGAGACTATCGAGTCGAACTTCCCCGAACTGATCAACTTCTACGACGAACTCGAGGGAGTGACCGCGGCAGCTAGAGGTAAACGCCACCGATTCTACCTCCAATTGGTGCTTTAAATGGACACTGGTTGCCAGTTTAAACGCTACTAGGCTATTTGGGAGAGGGACGCTTGTTGAAACAGTACATGCCTTTTTGAAGAAAACTAAACTCATTTTGGAGGGCAGTTACCGAGATCCAAGAATTCTTGAGTGGAAGGTGTTGCAGGGAATTGATTGTCACTTCAGACAGCAAATGGGCATGAAGTAGCGTGTTTTTGGGTGTCGTTAATGTGCTTGTGTGAGCGTGTTTTGCAACAGTTGCCTGCAACACAAAGCGTTCATGGCGTAGTTGATTGTTAGCAACATAGCATGAAGGAGGGTGTTGTGGTGCAAATGCGTGCAAAATTAAACCAACCAGAACTCGAATTGCGATGAGATTGCTCAGGTCCAGCGGTGTCGGGTGATCAGCACACTCGTAGATGGTGTCCTTCAGAATGTTAATTCTCTGGACCTACCCCTCATTTGTTTTAGTGGTATGATTTTCTTAATGAGGGCCGTTTCAAGTTAGTTTACTTGGTACTCACTGGAACCTTCTATTGCTCAATATCGATTTCTGGTGTCTTTCTTACCGAACTCTTGCACTCCTAATAGTGTCCTGCAGATGGTTATAGGTTTAATTTTGAATGTGGGTACATACGTTTCAAGATGGTTGTGCTCGTGCCACGAAACCTCGAATCAACCTCAACTTTCAGTGAAGATGTTGAACCGCTGCCTTGCCCGGACCCTAAACTAGAACCGAAAGGTTGTAGTGTTTTCAGCTGAACTTGGGGTGTCGAGATCGGTCGTATGGCGCAGATATTCTCACGATCCGGATGGCGACAACTGGTGTCAGGGTCGAAAGCGAGTTGAACTGACGCTAATCCGAACATCGATGGAAGCCGGCGTCATTTAACCGCCTTCGATTCGCACGACAAATCAATCCTAGCAGCTACATGCATGCTGTCGTCCCTGGAATGCCAGACAGAATGGACTTCTTCAGCTGCCGGAAATGTCTTAATCCCGAGGTTAAGGCGATAAATTTGGAATAGGACGTGACTAGTGTCGGTAGGCTCGAGCTTGGCAAATAGACGTCCCTGGTTCTACATGGTCTGGAGCTGGTTTTCTTCATCGCGACGATCGCCTTCACCGTTCGAGACGTTAGATGATCAAGGCCAAATTTGAGTTGTACCTCTCTACGCGGGTTCTGTGAATCTCGTTGAATGCACCAACGTCGATCGTAGATTTCAGCTTGACTCGGCCTCATTGTTGGCAGTACTATACACTAGCACCGTCCGCACTCGATGGTGAGACGTCTGTGGTGTCGTCAAGCGAGCGATTTCATGGATTTTGCTGAACTGGAGTCATAAGAGGCGTTCACTCATGACCACTCAAAACACTCCTGAACCGTACTGACACCATCTCAAGTTAGAACATCGTGGCGAATTGTTTGCGAAGACAACTTGTCAATCACTCCAAAGTTACTTGGGCAATGCCAGCATCCTGTTGTCGTCATTTTGCTGTGTGGGAGGTTGCAGGAAGGTTCAGTGCATCAGTTGAGACCACTTGAGGTGCTTCTACGGAAGCAAGTGTTCGATTAGGAGGCAATCAAGGAACAGTGCTCAGAATTGGCAAATTGCAAGGCCATCTTCTTCCACCAATGGAAAATGATTGGAGTTTGGGTGGGACAGAGGGCGAGTTTTAGATTTCCTCATGCAAAACCTGAAGCGCCTCTGCGTGTTTACGGTTTGTTTCAGTGCCAATGGAGGCGCTGACGTCGGAGGTGTCGGCGATGGTGCACGGCATGGACCAGGCGGACAAGGAGCTGATCGCCGCGGGGCCCGCCGCGCCACAGCGCCTGGTGGCGTTCGTGCGCGACAACCAGCCGAAGGTGGCCGAGCTGCAGCAGAAGGCGGACACCGCCAAGGCCATGTTCGCCCAGACCATCGAGTGGTTCGGCGAGGCGCAGAACAAACTCAGTCCGGAGGTGTTCTTTGGCTGCGTGGTCAAATTCATCCAGCAGTTCAAGGTGGGTTTGGGTCGATTCTTTTTGCTGCGTCTCTGCATGACTCACGCGAACATGGCAGTTTTCGTGATTCACCCTGTCTCCCGCCCAAGTGTGACTCATCGCCGTCAAAAGTGTCACCACGCGCACTGGCCGGAATTTGTGAGTGGCGGGTATTGCAGTTTAGTCAGGAACTGCAAGAACCGCCCAATCAGGATCACGCCCCAAGGGTCAAGTCAAGGTCACGTAGAATTCTCACAAAGTCTAACTTCAGATAGTAATAACAGTGGAGGTAGTCTGTGACATGGCCGTGCCAGCAACCCTTAGATGATGAAGTTGTAGTGGCTTGTGGTCTAAGCACTAACTTACAACCCTCTAGTTAACAGCCCGTAACAACCAGAGAATGGAGAGAAGAGAGGCGGCAGAGGACACGACCGTTTATTAGCCTCATGCCCGCCAAGCGTGTCTTAGTGTGTGGATGAGCGAACGGATGACAGGCATCTGATACAGTAGCCAATGAAAAGGGGATGAGTCATTGTCATCGTCAGGTCGGTAAAGGGGGTTCACTCAGGCGCGATCACTGTTAATCCGCCACAAAGTTCGATGTGGTGGCGGGTTCCACAGCTCGCATGGTAAAGTTGGCATCATGTATTGTGCAGAGTCAGGTCATTTTGACAATCCATTCGCTTGAATCATCCAATGAGATGCAAGGTTTAACCGCATGCACACTGCAAGCCAAAAGTACACGAGTGAATTGCTTGAGGCAGTAGTAGTAGTAGTAGTACTTGGCTGAGGGCGACTCATTCCACGCGCGTGTTTTGTGTGTGCGTGTGTGTGTCGCACGCTTGCAAATCTGCTGAAGGCTTTCCGTTTTTCCTGCTAACACCGGTGGGTGTTTTTGTGCAGAAAATCCAAGCCGAGTTGGAGATGCGACGGCGCGCTGACGATGCGCAGACGGCCAGGAGACCCTCGGATGCTTCGCTTTGCAACGGGAACGGTTCTGCGCAGGGCGGCGTGTCTGGTTCCTCGCGCCAACGCAAACCCAAAGAGGTAGGCTTGAACTCCTCGCGTGTCCGCCTTGTTGGTGGTTGAATTCCTAGGTGGATTAGTTTTAGTAACAAATTTAGACGCCTAGGCTCCCTTGACCTACGCGGTCGCCCTGAAACCACCAATCAAAACGCACACACTTCCCGAATACAAACTACCAAATGCTCATTGAATTCACCAATATTTGTAATCGGATTTCGGTCAGAAACATAAATTCTAAGTTCTTAACAATGCGTCCTTGTTTGTGCGTGAAACAACGCTTATAATTTTGCAAGTACCTTCATCCACTGAAATGTCTCGTTTGATTTGCTAGAATGAGAACCCCGTGGAAGTCCAGGTTTGTTATTTCGCTTTTTTTCACTCGCTCTCAATCCGGCTCTTATTGGTTGCTGTTGTTTTTCCTTATTTTTATTTTAATACCGACACCCGCTTTGCGAGCGTCTTTGCTCTTGTGATTTACCGCTTTCTACTAATGCGTTTTCAGTAGCATAATAATAACAGTAGTAGTAATTGGTTTGATGCTGCACGTGTTTCCGTGGTTAAATCGACACTCCACGCGTGTGTGTATCGCTCTGCCCTTTTTAGCGGATTCTCGCACAGGAAGCGCGACTCGCGAAACGACGCATTCAGAATCGCACAAGACAGATCAACGGCGACGGTATGATGGACGAAATCCTAGCAGGTGAGGCTGTTTTTTGTTTCGTGTGAAAATCCCAGCGAACGCGGCACCAGCGTCATTCCGCGTAGGTGTTGGTTAGGAGTGAGAAAATCTGTCTCGGGTTTTCCTCAAGCAAGCGGCAAAGGCACGAGTTTTTTTTGTTTCGTGTGAAAATTCCGACCACGCGGAATCCTACTTGTGTACTTTACTTGTTGCTGTTCGGTGTTGTTGGTTTTACCCCAGGCTTAATTCGCTCTCTCTCTCTGTTTCTTTCCCTCCAACTCGCTGACTCGGGGTTCGTTTGTGTCCTGTGTCGTGTGTGCGTGTCTACTAAACCCCCAGAAATCCAAGACCTCTGATCGATTTGAACGCTTCCAGTAGCCGCCTAAATTGGTTTGCAATTTAACCGTCTTGCGCCCCTCACCCTTCACCTGCTTTTTGTGTTAAGATTTCAAGCTAGTTCTTAGTTTGTGTACGGCGAAGTGCCCGAACTAGGCATGCTCCCTGCTTGGTGGCTGGCAGTAGTTGACGCTGTGGCAAAATTTCTCTTGATTGAGAAATCGCCTTTTGTAGGATGTGATAGGCACCTTCCAGAGGGTTTAAATCATCGATTTCTGGTGACTAGGTTCGATAGAGTGCTCAATATTTTTGTACATATCTGCGGAATTTCGTCAAAGTTCCTTTTCTGCCTAGTGAAAATTATGCCTGATGTTGGTCAGTTCGAGAAAAGAAGCACAAAACGTGACATTTTTTTCCCAATTGGTCAAATTTGATTTTCTATTTGTTAACAATGCAATAAAATTGGCCTATGGCTCTGATTTTACACGTTCAGATTACAATTATACACTTTTTTGGTGACACACGCACCTTGTTGCCGTTGAAGATTGACCACAGCGCTGAATTGTCCAGCGTGTTGGCCGTGAAATTGCTCGATTCAACTTGTTAATGCTCTACCTGTGCTTTACTGTAGACCTACCTAACCAGCTTGATTAAAAAATAACGCCTTTATAAAATCAACATTAAACCGTGTTCTCCGTGGTCTTCACTAGCAAGGACGTGTTCTCGGTGTTGTAGCTCTTGGCTCGAAGCCTCTGCAAGCCGAGATCCACCCCCGCCGGTCGCGTTTTAACGAATTATCGTGAGGTTGCTGCCACAGTGACAAAGAGATGCCCCTAGTTCGTCGTCTTCTTCTTATTCCCTCCCTCCCCCTCCCCCCCAACCACCACCAGCGCTCTGCAAATCGCCAAACAACTGCCGTTCTAGTTTTAAATCCGATGTCGTGTTTTTAATTTTTGGTATTTCTGCCAATGATTTGCCGTCTGATGAACACCGAAATTGTGTTTTGTTCAATCTCCTGTGCCCCTGTCTCTGGTTTTAATCCAGGGCTGTGTTTACCACAAACAGCGACTCTGTTTCCTTCATTCCTTGGCGGTGAATTAGGCGCGTGGACGTAATTTTGGAAACGAGTTGTCAAGACCTATGACTATGGGCGTAGGGAAGTGTGGTCGGTGCAAAAACATGCGGGGATGTCGAAATTTACCCAGGCACACTGTGGGCTGGGTGACTCCGAACTTGCAAGCCTCAGTCGCGCCGATTGGATGAAATTGCGGCAGCCAATCGGTGAGGTCCGGTTAAGCTGGCCAGATATTTGATTGGTTCAGAGAACCGGCTGTATACTGGGTGGTTCAACTCAGTGGTGCTGCTGCAGATGTCAGATTATCGCGCCCGATCTCAGGGGAGTTACTGAGTCTTGCCGATCTCAGCGCAATCGAAAATATTTTCGAAAAAAACCCCACTGAATCTGCCCTCTGAATTCGTTCGGCTTCGTCCCTTTCCAATCGGTTGTGGCAGCTAGTGGATGGGACTATTGGAAATTACTTTCTTAAAACCGTGTCGCGGGGAACATTCTACAAGTTGATCATGTTGGATGAGATTTACACACACATGACATTAAATTAACACAACCTACGTTAACTTTTCCACACCAAAGATATATCCGATAGACAGGCAATAGAGGCTCGGTGTAGATAAGTTAAATATTTCATCGGCACAAGGTTGCTCAACGAATTGAACTTCTTTCTTACGCACAACCCATGCAGCTTGAGCATTCATACCTCATCAGTATTTAATGCGTGGTCGAGTACGGATTTAAAGTGGTGAATTTCGGTTTACCTGGTTGGGTTTTTATTATTATCTGTTAGGATGCATGTCGGTGAGTGGTTTCTCGAACCTAACTCCCATTGGACTATGCGTTGCTGATGAAAAAGTATTCACACCGACACATGAGATGTAGTACAATTGGAGCAAATTACAAGTTCCACTGATAGGCAGTCAATAATTCCTTCAAGGAGTACCACAAGGGCCTCTCACGAGAGACTGGCGTAGAGGTCGTCGATGGCCATGGCGTAGGGGTACCCGACCGGGTCGACCACATTCTGGTTTTGCTCGCATTCCGGCGGTTTCCGCAGCGTCGTTGTGCCCAGCTGTCGGGTCATCTTGGTGCTCTCGAAGGTCGACAGGAGGATGCAGAAGGACCCCTCGGAGAACTCAACGGCCACGCACTTGGGCACGATGGCACACACGAACTTGCAGTTCTCCATGCTGAATGCGAGGTTATTGAGGCTAGAAGGAGTAGTCGTTAGGCAAGGGAAGGCACTCACTTGGAGTAGACGTTGCGTTGGCCGGTCTCGGTGAAGTAGTAGTTCTCGCGGCATTGCTCAAACGCCTCCGATCCGACTGAATGGACCTTCGGATTGAAGCACTGCTTGCCCATTTGCGAGCGCGCGCTCACTATTGTGCGAGCCAGCTCCGAGATGCCAGTCTAAACAAGCAGTGCGCAGAAAACAACACACACTGGATTCCATCAGACCTTCCCTTGAACTCAATTCAATTTGTAATTGCTCTACGTGGTTTCAAGTCAAAGCCACGTGTGAGGAATTTGAGAGCCACACTCGTCATTTTAGGCCCTGGATCGAGTATTCGACCCGCATAACCCGGCTTTCAGGTCTACTCAGGCCGCTCGTCTACATTTTTAATGAATTATAGTTGGCGCGTCAGTATTTCAGGAGTTTTTAGTCAACGCTGTGGTTAATCGCTCTTGAATTGTGAAAAAAAGCAAATAACGCATTACTTTGAGCATTTTCGTTTTAATTCCGCAGACGAAGAGGTATTTAAAGTTTATGATGACTGCTCTATTAAAATGCGATATTTTTGAGGAGTTCCGGGTGAAATTGTCACACTCACCAATTACAAATCAGTTGAAATGTTTTGGGTTCATTAATAAGTTGGGTACTTGGCTTTCGCTTATATTACACCGTGCTGGCGATTTGCTGCGTATGTTAAGCTGCTTCCATCACATCAAATGTTTACTGTCATTAAGGGGATAGAGCTGGATTTTTGGGTATTAAGAGAATAGTGACGAGAATCGGCAAATCCTAAGTAAATGTTCCACCAAGACAGCGCGAGAAATCACTCAGTGTGGAGCTTTGATGCATCAAAACGGACAACGATGGAGTTAACTAGGTGAAGTGGCTTGCCTGGGCCCAGCCCTGTGCTAGACGCCAGTTGTCGCAGGCGCCGACATCACGCTCCTCCATCTCCTCGACTGTTGGGTCGCACGCGGCAATCACCGTGGGGTCCTCGTCCAACGGACAGTGCTCGAGCGTCGACGAGGCTCTAGGTGGAGAGAGGAGTCGGCGTCAAGGGGGCTAGTCGCGACTTACGTCTTGATGCAGTCTCCGTGGTAGGTTCCATTGGCGAAAAAGGGGATCTTGCAGCGCCCTTTGCTGGTCCTGCGCACAAACCGCGTGTGCGATCTCAGGGTCTCAAAGAGCAGCGAAAGTGGCAATTAAATGGCCAAGTCTTTACCGAAAAACAGCCAATCGTAGCAAAACAAATTGTTATGATAACCATTTGCGACACAGTCAAGTCTTCACCAAATAATAACCAATCGAAAAACATCCAGTTCTAAAATAGCCAATCGTAAAACCCAGAAATAGAGAATGCCAATCGTCCGACGTAAAAAACTGAACAAGACGCCGTCATGTTTAAACCACGAGTTGTGTGTACGGGAGAGGATGCACATTGACAGTTGCTCTCGGATCTTTTACAAGGAAGCACCAAACGGATTGCCTTATTTGCACCAGTCGTACTGCAACACACAATGCCTGTTCTTGGGTGTAAGAACTTGTTTTACAATAGATGTCTGTAAAACAGCACCAGCGTATAATAGCTGAATGCTGACAACATTAAATACAAAATTTTGTGCTGAGAATGCGTGCGGAATGAAACAAACAGGGACATAAGTGGGAGTGAAGTTGAGCTAGTACAGACGGTGTCGGGTGATCAGAATTGGATGTTTTCTGATATCACTACATCCCTAATAGTACCATTTAGAATGTTAACGCAGTGTGCCTACCTCTCGTTTGTTTTAGTGGGCTGACTCGGATGGTGAGGGTCATATCAAATTTATTTACTTGGTGGGCAGAGCTCAGTGTCTGACTAACCCAGGCAATAAACATCGACATCCAATTCCAGGCTATTTTGATGCTTTCGCGTGATTGATTTTGATCGCATCGAGACGTAGGAGAACAGTATAGTCGTGAAGAGTTGCGAAACCATTTGTTTTTTTTACGGTTTCACACCTACAACTCAAGTCAAATTTATGACCGGCGGTTAGTTTGGATTCCTAAACTATCCAGTCGTCGATCAAAGGTCAATTATCCTAGCATGGCAAACGAAAACCCGAGTTGACATTTTTCGGTGGTAATTGAAAGTCGGTTCTGGTATCGTTCAAAAATGGAAATTCGTTTACGCCCACTTAGTGTCTAAACCTCCGGGTTTCCATCGAATTTCATTCGTTATCGTCGTCAGAATACATGCAACAAACAATGGATTTTCGCAAAAAAGATTCCGTGGTTTTATGGCATTCCAAGGTGACTAAAAAAGTTCTATTTCGTGTTTCGGTCGTTGATTCCACGTTAACAGCATTGCGTGCATCCAACTTACCGATTCCAATCTCATTTCGTCTTGCGGAATAATCGACTTGCAAGCCCCAGAGCTCCAGTCAGCTGGCATGGGACAGGCGCACTGTCGTGTGCGTCTGCGAGTGCAAGTGTCGAATTCGCAAGGTCCCCATTCCGCCCACTCGCACCACTCGCCCTTCTGCACGCGCGGCTCGCAGGCCTCCACGTCAAGGAAGGAGGAGGCCCAGTTTCTCAGATTTCCCACCCCCGAAATCGCCACTGCACAGAGAACAACTAACAGCACAGGCGTAAATCGCAGCGCTACTGCCATTTTACTTTGAGCAACTCGTGTAATTCACCGATAACTCAGTCAGCCACGAGGCGAAATTGAACCTCTAGCGAAAACGGTTAAAATATCGATTTTTCACATCGATTGTTTTGCACACGCGCAAGCAGCGGTGAATACGCACTGCTTAACCTAAAACAGACTTGATCGAATTTGGGAGTGCAATCCAACTGCCCGTCGACTTGCTCAACTGCTTTACTTTGAAAAAGACAAGTTATTAAACGACTCCAAGATAAAATCACTCTCTTAACACACACTCACCCTCACACAATTAACCCATTCTAGCCTTTGTGGAGTTCTAAATTTAAAAATCCGGCTTCCAACCTATACTCTGATGGAAGACTAGAGACTTGTCTGCACCCCGTTAAACTCGTTTGAGTTTGAAAAAAAGAGAGGAAAAATTGGTGGATTGGGTTTATGAAGAGTAATCACGAGGTTATTCTTCATTTCACTAATAAAAGCCATTTCAAACTTCATGACGGCTGGTCCTAATCGCGTTGTTATATTTGTGGACACGCTCACGCCCAGTCATTTCCAACTTGATTACAGACAAATATATGAATTTGATGTGACTTAGGCAGAAGTTGATCGTCGAATCGCCGTTCAGAGGGAACAAATGTCAAAAATGCTAGTAATGGTTACAGAGTTCATCGACTATTCGAGATAATTTTGGAGAGGCATTTACCGTTCTGATGAGGTGATTTTCAGGGGCTTCAAGTCAATTAAAAGGGCTGTTTTATCCATTCCCACCACCAGACAAAAAATTTGACGGATTGTCCGATTTCTAGGGAGTTGTGTTTTTCCAAATCGAGGGACTTATCCTCGTAATTTATTCAGCAAAACAACCAAAAAACCAGATTCGAGTTGCGACAAAGGGTACAACTTTCCTTTAGTAAACTTGACATCATATTGAGCGCCATTTTTAACAACATACAAGTTCCACCAAACCTAGTTTTCTGTGAGAATTCGAACGCACCGAGTACTCATTGCCTCGTCACTTAACTAGGACTCTAAAAGCTATCAAAGGTGAGCCTAATGCACCTCAACCTCTGGGCATGGTTGTCTGGGACGTCCCCCAACGTTTTTGAGGTCCATCAAACCCAGTAGCACGAAAAATTACGCTGAGATGCCTGGCCTTGGTCTGATCCCTGGCAAATGAGCCAACACCCATCGTCATACGTTTTCAAAAAGTATTTTTTCGAAAAAAGAAATGTCTTTTTGTGCACCAATTTTGGCAAAAACAGAGACGACGCACATGAATGTGCAAATACCACCAAGGTAATCTGCCCGAAGCCCACAAGATAACACTGCTTTGCACAATAAATACTTTACATCCTGCATCAGATATAAACGGGGACACAAGAGATTAGCATTTAAAGCATTATCAATTGACAAGTAATTATACAGACACATTCAAGATTAGACACACATGCATACACATACATACACACACACACACGGAGAGAGACAGGGAAGAACAGGAACTGTGGCTACGCAGTGCTATTCGGCGTCATTAGTACCCTCAGCTGACGCCTTCGTCTGTTTCGACGACGGAGATGCCTTCACAGCGACATTATCGACCTTCTTGGGGGGGCGGCCGCGCCGTCGTGGAACCTGGGGGACGCCGTCCGGTTGCTGCGACGGCGCTGCGGTGTTACGTTTGACGACGGCGGAGCGACGCCGGGCCGCACGTTTGGGGGGCGGTGGAGTGGGCGGTTTATCGATCGGCGGCCGC